GCGTTCCGTCCCGACGAAGTTCGGGTAAGTCTGCTGAAGCTCCAGAAGCCTCGCTGCCTGCCCCGTCCGAGTCGGTAGATGTCAGGCAGGCAGTCGCCAAACCTCCCAGTGCCAAACTTGCCCTGCCTAACGGCGAGGTGGCGGATGCTCAAACGTCTCTTCGTCACACATTTCCCCATTTATATCATTCCTCAGGTGCATCCCGATCACCCTCGACCCGTACTTCATCCAGCTCGCTCCAGGCGTTGAACGAAGACACCGTCGTTGACGCCCGGTCGGATCACGGTTTATGGACGAAGGCGTCTCTCGGGCGAAGAATGTCCCATCGCAGTGTGAACGATGCGCCACCTGCCGATTACCCGGTATATCCTGACCAGTCCTACGCCGTGCTCCAATCACAAATACACCCTACCTATCACCCTCCATTTCTGCGCTCCCGCAGTTCCTACCCAGCGCGGACTGAGTCGCTTGGCCGACTTCCGACCCCGCGCGCCGCTCGCACTGCGGGCAACACTCCCGTATCGAGTCCTGGACTATTCTCCGTCCACAGTCCCCGCTCAACGCCTCCTCCTAACTCCGATGACGAAGGTCGCATTAGCAGTCCCTATCTACACCCTACTCATCTCCAGCCGCCGAAAGAGACACATACGGCGGAGGTTGACCGAGATCTCGTTACTGGGAACAAATTGATCAACCAATATGAGATTCTTGAAGAGCTCGGGCGGGGTGAGCATGGAAAAGTGAAACTGGGCCGCCATGTGACAACGCGTCAGAAAGTGGCAATCAAGATCGTTCAGCGCTATTCAAAACGACGCCGTTTGGGTAAATTGGGTAATCCCGAAGACAAGGTCAAGAAAGAAGTCGCCATTCTGAAGAAAGCTCGGCACCCAAATGTTGTCAGTCTGCTTGAAGTTATCGACGACCCGAACCGCCAGAAGGTGTATATAGTCTTAGAGTTCGTTGAGAACGGCGAGATCATCTGGCGGAGGAAAGGACTACGTGAGATTATACAGGTCGACAAGCGCCGCCTGGAACGTGAAAAGGCCGGTATTCCCGAAACCCCGTCGTTCTGGGAGGAGAGTCGACAATATGTCAGGACGGCGCAGCGCCTTCGTCGCCAGCGAGAGAAGGCACGTGAACGGCGCCAAATGAAAGCCGTCCACGCTCAACAGGCACCTATCCCCGCCTGGAGTTTAGAGCATGGAGCCGAGTCGGACGAGGAAGAGGAGGGTGATCCAGCAATGGCCCGCACTATTAGTCGGTCCATTGCGAGTCACGATGAGACCCAAGAATCCCCGAGTCACTCCTTGGCATCCGCACATGACTCTGCGCTGGCCGCAATTGAAGGTACAATGTACGGAGCCTATGTTGATTACTCCCTAGATAGGCGATTCAGTACCGCCTCGAGCAGCATGGGCTACGCTCCCTCTGAGCCGGAGTGGTTCTCGGATGATGATGACATGTCGTACGTTCCGTGCCTTACCGTCAACGAAGCGCGAAACGCATTCCGTGATTCTCTACTCGGTCTTGAATATCTTCACTATCAAGGTATCATCCACCGCGATATCAAGCCTGCGAATCTTTTAGTCACAAGCAATCACCGCGTGAAGATTTCCGACTTTGGTGTTTCCTATCTTGGACGGCCGATGCGAGACGAAGAGGAGGAGCAAGTCACTGAAACTGACGCAACTGAATTGGACGATGCTCGAGAGTTATCCAAAACTGTCGGCACCCCGGCCTTCTACGCACCCGAACTGTGCTACACCGGCGACGACTTTGAAGAGACAATTGGCTCGGTGCCCAAGATTACAGGTGCGATCGATGTTTGGTCTCTCGGCGTGACCCTTTATGGAATGATCTTCGGACGTCTGCCTTTCGTGTCCGACGACGAATACAGCATGTTTCAGACTATTGTCAAGAAAGATGTTTTCATTCCGCGCAAGCGCTTGCAGCCTGTCGAGGACGACCCCGAGACCGTCAGCCAATGGCCCCGATACTCGAACAACAACAAGCGCATGGAGGACGAGATTGTCTATGAGGAGATCGACGATGAACTTTACGACCTGCTGAAGCGATTGTTGACCAAGGATCCCGTCAAGCGCATTACGGTCAAGGAGATTAAGCACCACCCTTGGGTCCTCCATGGTTTACCGAACCCCAGAGCGTGGATTGAGGAAACGGATCCAGGCTATCAGAGCAAGGGCAAAAAGATCGAAGTTTCCAACGAGGAAGTCACTACCGCCGTCAGCAAGGTACCGTTTATTCAACGGGTGCGGTCCAATGTTGCCAAACTGTCGAACTACCTCACTGGAAGATCGAAAGACAAGGACAAGGAAACTCGCAAACGAACGTCTAGTACCACACCATCGGTCGAATCTTCCGCCTCAAGCAATGCTAGTTTTGGAAAATATATCCTGGACAGTCGGCGGGGTAGTCTCAGGGAGGAGGATTTATACCGGCCTGCCAGGCTGGCAGCAAGGGACGCTGAACATCCGCTGTCGCACAGTGTGACGGCGAGTCCGGTCGGTCGGGATGATCAAACCTCATACTTTGACGACGTAAGAACTGATGCGGCGCTTGATCGCACGCCGCGCCCCGATCCTCCTCATCGCGCGACGTCAACCTTGTCTACTGCCGGATCTGCAAAGACTATCCGGCCAGACTGGACAGCCACACCATGTGCAAGCCAGCGGGCCAGTGCGTCTTCCAAAATCGAAAACCAGGGCACCACCCATCTCGGTGGGCTCTTGGGCGGGGCAGGCCGTCGGCTAGCACGGGGCCTTCAAAGCAGAGAGTGGCGCTCAGATCGGTCCATTTCCGGAGATACCGCAGATTCCGTCTCTCTAGATGGTGATCGTCACTCAGAGCCCAGCCTTGCCTTGAGCGTCGCCTCCGCAGTTGGTCATCTACAAAGCTCGAGTTCTTTGCGGGACGAGGATTCCTCCCATTCGCACGCGGAGAGCTTGAGCGCAGTGGATTTAGGACACCGGCGCAATAGATCTCACCAGCTTACGACCAAGTCATCACAGGAGCCGTTTCAATTCTCCAAAGATGTTTTGTTGAGGAAGCGACGGAGTTACATTTACCAGGCTCCTGTCGACGACCAAGTGCCACCGGAGAGCAAGAGCAGGTCCACCGACTCGCTAAATCTTCGACCAGAGCCACAACCAGAGACAACAACAGCATGCGCGATCGAAACTGCCCCCGCTGAACCACCATCCGGTGGACTAACCACATCGCCACCCTCGGCTGCCACCATTTCCTCCTCCTCGGTCGACGACTACACCAGTGGAATGTCTCAGAGTGCTTCTCATCCGAGTATCCCCTCGGTCATTTCCGGTGCATCTTCGCTTTCCGGTGATGGATCCGTCAAGGACAAGGAATGTGAGCAGGCGGTTGCAGTCCCTTCCATCCTTCGGACGGGCGAGACGGTCAAGGCTCGACTCGTGCGACCCCAACAGTCGCACGAGGACGATGAGTCGCGGTACTACTGTGATGATGAAAATGATTCGGAGGACGACTCTGAAGACGAGGTTCTCGTCATTGGCAGAAAGAAGCCAAGCCCGCAGAAGCCAGTGATGTGTGGGACTCAGGCTTCCAAGCCCAAGGCCTGAGCTAGATATATAGGAAATTCGCCTGACCTGGCCGACGAATTTTCCGTGTGAGAGAAGAAAAAAGTCTTCCTATTTCGAGATCTCTAATACCTTGCTGTGGGCGCAGAAACCATTGCCCTATTTCACATTCTATTATTGTTCTTTGAGCAGTCCCTGACGTGATGTCCAGTGGCTTGCTCCTTGCTGGGTCTCGTTTCTTTAATGTATATCAATTTTATTGCCACGCCTTTTCCCTTCCTGTGTGTTGCACTTTTGCGGGTCCTGTCGACAGGCCATTCGATTGGCTGCACTTGCTGTTGGCATACATGATACACTGCTTGTACATATATTCTCATGGGCGGCACGTCTATATTCGCTTTTTTCTTTGCTTGCCTTTGCTCCCTTCTTCCTTTCTTGTTGCGCACCCCGGCGTTCTTCGATTCGACCCTCTGCGATTATATATTGGGTTTTTTTATTTTCTATGGCATGGGGTGTTTGAGATACAAACTCATCTGTTGTTGTACGTAATGTTGAAACGCGAGGGAGGATCTGGGGATGCAAAGGTTGGGATATACCGAGCCAGAGTCCTTTTGAGAAAGCTCGCATGATGCATGAATGTCTTTTTCTTTTCTTTTCTTTTCTTTTCTTTTCTTTTTTTTTTTGCTTCTTTCTTTCCTTTCACTTTGCGTGCTGTTGTGATGTGATGATGGATGATGATGACCTAAATTGGGAGACCTAGAACGTCCCAGATGGCTTAGTATTTGAACCCCAGTTGGGATGAAGCAGTAACAATTGATGAATTCTTGGTTCTTATGAAATATCTCCTCCCTACCTTTCGAGCTAACGATCGTCGTTGGGCTGGACTGAGGCTAGATCAGCACTGGTGGTGGAGGATGCAAGACATGACTCCGCACTCGGCGGTTTGAAAATTCCCGGATCTACAGTGCTCGGGGTATCACCATCCAGGAACCCACCACTTAGTCTTTTCAAGGAAGTTCTTCAATTGTTCCTCCACCAATAGTGGATGTTGCCTCAATGTACCTGTCCAAAGCCCTGACCACCATCATTCCATGCCATTTACCCGGGCCATGAAAAAAAAAGCGGGACACCGGGCCATCCTGTCAGGTCATGTGTCCTCGGTTGATCCTGGTGGATGATTATGCCGCAGGACCATCACTGGTTTCTGCTGAGACCGCTGTTGTCTCGGAATTATTGCTCCCTTATGTCCCAAGTTTGATGTGATGGATTAATGGTGATCCACCCATTGGTTGCGTAGTCATGGCGGGGGGAAGTAGGAGACGAGATACATATATGTGCTATGAGACACCCATTTTTCCTCGTTCTGCAGGTGCTCAGGTCTTGTTTTGATGTCCAGTGATTCTGGAGTCTGAAAGTTGCTCGGGCAAAATGATGCTCCTACCCCTTTTTGTTCTCCTCTTTCACTCTCTTGCTACTGCATCTCTTACTTACCGCGGCGCTGATATTTCCTCCCTGCTAATCGAGGAAGGGGCCGGGATTCGGTATAAGAATCTGAACGGCCAGACGCAGCCGCTTGAGAATATACTCAAAGCTAACGGTGTAAATTCCATTCGCCAGCGGGTGTGGGTGAACCCCAGCGATGGACATTACAATCTGGACTATAACCTGAAGTTGGCGAAGAGGGTGAAGGCCGCGGGGATGAGCATCTACCTTGACTTGCACTTCAGTGATACGTGGGCAGACCCGAGTCATCAGGTATGTGGATGTGAACGCGCCAGCAGTGCGTACTATGGCTGAGACGAGACAAACATAGACCACACCCAGTGGGTGGTCGACCACCGACATTGGCACCCTCACCTGGCAAGTGTACAACTACACGAAGGAGGTCTGCGACACGTTCGCCAGCAACGGCATCAACGTCGCCATCGTGTCTATCGGCAACGAGATCCGCAACGGACTGCTATGGCCGCTCGGCAAGACAAGTAGCTACGCCAATATCGCCAACATCCTCCACTCGGCGGCCTGGGGCATCAAGGACTCGACCCAGTCGCCCAAGCCGAAGATCATGATCCACCTCGACAACGGCTGGGATTGGTCGGCACAGAAGTTCTTCTACGACAGCGTCTTGTCAGGCGGGAAACTGGTGAAATCCGACTTCGACCTCATCGGCGTGTCGTACTACCCATTCTACAGCGCCAGCGCGACCCTGTCGGCGCTCACAACCAGCCTGAAGAACATCCGCTCGACCTATGGCAAGGACGTGCTGGTCGTCGAGACGAACTGGCCCGCCTCGTGTCCGAACCCGGCGTATGCATTCCCTTCGGATCTCCGGAGTATTCCTTTCTCGGCGGCCGGGCAGACGACGTTTGTGCAGCGGGTTGCGAATGTTGTGGCGGGGACCTCGGGTGGCATAGGACTGTACTACTGGGAGCCGGCTTGGGTGCAGAATGCGGGCCTGGGCTCGAGCTGTGCGGACAACTTGATGGTGGATTGGAATACGGATCAAGTGAGGACAAGCGTGAGTGTGTTTGGGGGAATCTGATCGCTGTATATCCCTGGATGTGATTGCTATACTCCGTACGAAGTAGTCTACGATTACTACCAAGCTACTTCGTACCAGGGGTCAATATTTTAGAATCCCAAGGCAGAAATATTTCCTGGAAACTTGATATTCGAAAATGGGTCGAACTGTTGATCGCTCAGACTCGGACATGACGCTCGGTGGCTGTGCACCGCGACTAGTATCAACCAACACGTCTGGAGAGTCCACTTAGACCAAAGAGTCGACCTGTCAGAATCCTGCAAGCTGGTAGCTAAGAATCAGTTACCTCAAGGCTCACACTCTGTAATTTAGCACACAGATATAAAAAGAAAGGAAAGCTGTCAGGCTGACTTTTCGTACCGAAAGGGGAGAGAGAGTCGTTTGCTATATACTATCCTAGCTAGAGACAATGGCCGATGATGTCAGTACGTAGCTAGCACCCTCGAGCCGATCAATCATGGAGAATTGGGTACTGTTACGAGACAAGACAGCTTCACACAGATATTTCAAGATCGATTTGGAATATTTGTAATCGGGATGGTTGATGGAGTCTTCCTCGACCTGTCTACATTAGTACCACAGCTGAGTCTACCTCTCTAGGTACGGGAATAGAATCACGATAAAAATCATCAGTTGGATATATCGTCGATCAACACAGTCCGTTCATTTATGACTTCGTCGAAATGAGTCCTGATATTGGTCTCTGCATCAAGCACTCAAGAATATCTACTTTCCCTTATTTTTCTGCGTTTAGATTCCATGTCAGATTCTGCCCTTTCAACTGGCCAATACAGCCTACAGAGTACCTAGTATGTAGCCTAGTAATAGATCATACCTACTCCGTACTTAGTTACCTGTTGAAAGGGTGGTTTGATCTGCCCATGAATAGATACGCATTGTTAGGGCACCAAACCCCCAGAATTACAGTAAGAGAAGCCCAACTCTCTTTCCCCCCCTCCGTGCGTTCGTCTTCTCTTTTAGTCTCATATTTTCCTTTATCAGGGGCCACAAGTCAAGACCTTATTATTTTTTTTTTTTTTGATAACTACCCGCCTGCAAATATCATCATCATTGACGTCGTTGTTAGTCAAGTTTATCTGTTCCTCTTCGTCGTCACCATAATTATATGGATAGCACGTGCCTGAGGGGGAACATCATTATCTTCTCAGCTTCAACTTCATCATCATCATCCCTCCGTGTCTTATCATTCTTTCTCTTTTGAGTCTGATTGACAGAAGTACGGCCTAAGGGTGTTAGATCCTTCGATGATCTCTTGACGTTCTCCTGTATTTCCTTCTCCCAGGTACATTTTCCATACTAGAGACATGCTAGCCCCGAGAATGTGAAACAACCGCAAGACCAACCGCTGATGCTTGCGCCACGAGGCTGATTCGCAAGGTGCACTCCAATTCCAAATCCCCAGATCTTGTCTCGTCCACCCCTGATCGCTGCGGATGGTATCCTCTTCTGGCCCTCCTTCTTCTCTGCCGCACCTGCGTTGGTTACCCTCTCTGCGGTCGTTGATCCCTTCCTGGTCCCCCTTCACCGCCCCTCTCTTCCCGCCCATACATACTACGGCGACGCTTCTCTATCGACCACCCCTCCGCCCGCGCGCTCGGTCGCTTGTCCCTGTTTCCGCGGCCATCTTCATCGCTAAGCCTCTGGGTCCAAATCTGTATCTATTCTGGGATCACGTTGCACAAACGTGATGACTTCACAGGAGATGTTCCCCGAGTTGGGGCAGTCTCCTGCACCTGGCGTTAAAAGCCGCGGTGTCAGCCCCTCCCCCCATCATCATCATCAGCAGCAGCAGCAACAGCAACATCAAGGACAATTTACGGGAACAGTCACTGGCTTGGATCTCGATTCTTCGATCGCTGCAGCTAGTTCCTTCTCCAATTCGTCCTTCGATCCCAATAGCAACAACATTAACCCTTGCGCTGAATCGTATGGGTATACTGCCGCTGGCTATCTCTCAGGCACTCCTGCATCACAGAACGACCCGAACTACGCGAATAGTCTTCAGATTCAGCAATCGTACGACACCGGTCTGGTTCCTCAGTTCAATGAATCACACGGCTTGTCGATACAGCAGCAGTCGCAACAACAACAACAACAACACCAGCAGGCCCCCATCGATGATAACTTCTCCAACCTCTTGAACTCCAATACCACCGATTACGACTTTAACACCGTCTACCAGAATCACAGTCCCAGTAGTAATACTGCTCCTGAGTACGACTCCTCCCTTCTGCTTGACCCTCAAGTCCACCAGCAGGCGCATCCGACCCAGATACCCTCCTCCCATTCCTCGACTTCTCCACAGATCTCCCCTCTCGAGCAACAGCAGCACTCCTCACCGGGTCCGATGTCACCCCAAGGCTCGACGACCGTGGCTTATTATACCCCTCAGCATTCCCGTCATGCATCCTTAGACCCCGCCACGGCGGCCTTCCTCACGAGTAGCGCGCATCCTGACTGGCAGGCTGTCATGGGCACCAGTGCCGCTTTCCAGGGCCATCGACGAGCGCCATCCGAGGTTTCTGAAATTTCGTCCGCCGCTCCTTCTCCGTACCTCTCACAACATGAGTCTTTCGATGGCGTAGACAACAATCCCTCTCCCCTTCTGGCACCTCAAAACGATCCCAGCTTGTACGATAATGCTCTTGGGATCGAGAACTTCACTTTGTCCGAGCAGCAGCAGCATCAAGGGTTCAGCCCGGCGCACAGTCCGTACATCTCTCCGCGGCTGATGCCCCAACAGGGACAGGAAATGATCCCCAATGTGCCATATCTCTCTGGCCCCGCTCCGAACACGCAATATCAGACACCTCCGAATGGTATGTATGGCAATGGCTCGGAGGGCATGATGAATATGCCGCAGGCGACTCATCCATCTGTGGACATCGGCCAAGCCTCTCAAATGGCTCCGCCGTCGATCAACGTGGAATTCGCACCTCCGTCGCGAATCCCCAGTTTTGGACCTTCAAAACCGGCCAACAGCCTCGATACCTTGAGTCCTCCACCTTCGTCGACACGTAAGTCCCCCTAGCATTCGATTCTCGTTTGTCATCAGAGAACTAATCAAAATTGTAGGCTCTCGCGGGCGTAGCAAGTCTGATCCATATGCCCATCCTAGCACCACTCGGTTGCGCTCCTCGTCGACTTCGAGCAGCCTGGAGCCCCTTGCCCCTTCTACGCCTCGGTCACTTTCTCCATTCGACTCTTTAGGGCGTCAGAGCAATCCGAGCTCACGCGATCCGTCGCCGTCTAAATCCAGCCGACGTCTGTCGACATCGTCGATCGATAGCCGCAATTACATTCTGGGCCTTGCGGATCCCCAACGGCCAGGGGCTAGCCCCAATGATTCGAAGCGTGTCCAGAAACATCCCGCAACGTTTCAGTGCAACTTGTGTCCGAAGCGCTTCACTCGGGCATACAATTTGCGGTCACATCTCCGAACCCACACGGACGAGCGGCCGTTTGTCTGCACTGTATGTGGCAAAGCCTTCGCTCGACAGCACGATCGTAAACGGCATGAAGGGCTGCACTCGGGCGAGAAGAAGTTCGTTTGTCAAGGAGAACTCTCCCGCGGCGGACAGTGGGGTTGCGGTCGCCGGTTCGCTCGGGCAGACGCTCTGGGGCGTCATTTCCGTTCGGAAGCGGGGCGGATCTGTATCAAGCCGCTGCTGGATGAGGAGTCTCAAGAGCGTGAGCGTTCACTCATGGACCAGCAGCAACATCATTTACAGCCACTTCCGCAACAAGTGATGGTACCCATGGATAACCCGCATGCTGGTAATTTTGTGCTGCCTGCTGCGCTGCTGGCTCAATATCCGGCTCTTCAGACTCTGCAGTGGGATCAGATTGCCGCAACGGCGGATGATCCTAGCGACATAGGGGGCCGTAGCAGCTTCGATGCCAGCTCCGGCAACGAGTTCGGCTTCGAGGATGATGATTCGGGGATCAGCAGCGTGTCCGGTATAAATGCTGGGTTCTCTGCTCCCGGTAATTTCTATTGAGTCAACCATGAGCGTCAGATACCAGGGGTCTCCATTGGAGATACCAATTATATCGACGCTGACTGGGAATGCTGATTACATGGTTTCTGCGCTGTCTGTCTGCCGTCTTCCCCGTTCTCGGGTTCATCTTGAGATAGACTTCGCATTCAATCTCCGAATTTCAGGCACTGCATCGCATAAGCACAAGGAAGTGATTTGATTTGAAACTATATAGAGGGATTTTGGCGTTGTGATAAAAGGTTGGATCACAAGGTTAACCAAATCACCGGCGGGTATACCTTCGTTTATACCTTATTTTCGCTTTTTTCCTTTTTGATTCCCTTTTCTGATCTTCTTCTGCCTTACTTTATTCCCCATTTGGTCTTATATTCTTCTTCAGCCCCCTTAGGCTGTCTACGCTCAAGGGGTCCACGGACCTCCTGTTACGTCTTCATGATGACTTTCTGAAACTCATACCCATGGATTTTCCACTTATTCGTGTCGAGCTGTCTATTTACTGGCTCTTGTCAGGATACTCTGATCTAAGAATGGACTCAGTCTTCGATTGATTGGGCTGAATGTCGGGGTAGAGACGTCTTTCACCTTGGATTGAAATGAACGGTGGGATGATCGTAGACTGAATTAGAGCTCGTCATCGAGCCGAGAGCATGAACTATGACAACATCTATACTGATCTCGGCGTCTAACCTTAAGCTTATACAATATTACGAGGAAAATTAAGAAAAAAAATTGTCGAGTAAGGTATACACAAACAGACAATCCGGCACGGAGGCTATTCGTCAACCTGGGTCTAGCAATTCATCGGCTGCGCATCTCGACCAACTTTCCAACCTCTTCGATCCATTTCTGAGAAAACTCCTCCTCGGTGAACCGCAGGGCGGACTTACGGGCACGCCGGCGCATCGCGACTTTCTCCTCCGCCGGCAGGGCCAGGGCGGCCTCGAACGAGGCGGCGAATTCGTCCTCGGTTGAGGCGCG